CAGGGGGGGGTCGGTCATAAAATCTTTGCTCCAGGCATAAGTCAAAAAAAAAAAAAAAAAATCAAACTGGATGTCTAGAAAATGCAATAGAAAAAGCTCAAACTATAACAACACCCTCAGATCAGTATTTTTAGAACATAAGGAAAGACTGAGCAGCCGCGCTGAAAAGAAAAGGGAAGCTTTAAGCTTCAATTTTTACAAACTCTACAGAAGGGCATGGAGCTTGCTGGAAAAAAGTGCAAGTTGACGGCTCCCTGATTTTAAAATTGCTCATTACAGCGATCGCATGAGCGCATGCGAGGAGCGAAACCCAAGGATCCGTCAGCAGCTGCGGGCTCACTCGCGCTCCAAGGAAACCATCTGTAAACAGCTCACCTGAAACACGCTGCCCAACGTTTCATGGACATGAACAATTTAGTCAGAAACCATTCGTTAGGGAAGAAATGAGTGAATTCCTACTTCATTTATAAAGGAAGATGACAAAGTTAACTATACGGTTATTCCTTCCAGCTGTTCTTCCCTCTGTTTTGACAAGTGCAAAGGAACAAAGAGGTTGCCTTGCAATGAGGCACGACATCGTTTTATTGTTTGCTGCCTATTTGAAGGATCATTACTTGATCCTGTTTGAAGCAAAAAGGGTCTCTCCCTGTCTGGATCACTCTTACCGTGGCCGATTCCAGGCGTACCTGCTTACGGGGTGGATCCGGCAGCTGCTGTATCCTTGAGGGACTATGTGTTTAGTTCAGATTTCGTTATTTTGGGGACCAGCTCATCCTTTGGTGTATTCATATGCCTTAAAAGAGATTTCAGACCTGTAAGACTATGATCTCTATAGCAAGCCATACATCAAAGCAAAGACGTAGAAATCCAGAGCTTTTTAAGGACAAAAAAGTTTCTAACTGGGCTGACCCAGGAGTACTCTGAGCTGTTTTGGTACCTCATCTGCTTCATGTCTCCCACACGCTGCTGGGAGAGGGGAGAGCAAGCAAGGGGGGCCCGCGTGAGCTCTCCTTTAGCACTAGCACGTGGCAATAGCAACAGTCCCTAGCTGGTAGTTAAAAATGTCTAAAGCAATAGTGTGGAGGCCTATGGAGTGCTGGTACCAGCGATGCATTCTCGTTGGACAATCTTCCCTGTGGTTTCTTTACAAAAATCTAAAAGCTGGTTGTGGCGTGGCGTAAGAGATATTGCAGAAATTACCATCAGTGCCGCTGCCACGCAGTCAATACGTTGTTATTGTTGGAGAAGCACAAATATCTCGGGACCTCTGAAGATACGCAGCACCCCGGCCTGACCTTTATGTTAAACTATCAAAAAGTAAAACAAATGAAAAAAAAAAAAAGGCAACCAAAAATTCTACTGAAGAAACTCTGAAGGAAACAGTCACCCGTTTGGGTTTTTTTTTCCTTTTTTTTAAAGCACATGGCCAAACATTTGCTTTGAGGACAAAGAAAAAAAATATTAATAGTACTTTATGCTGTATTATTTTGTGATCAATACAGCATTTTCACACACAGCATTTCCTCCCGGATGACCCCAAGGTGCTGTTCAATGCCAGGGACAGGACACGCTCCGAGCTGGGGAGAGGTCTCTGCTGCTTTCACCTTGTTCAGGCATTGGTGTTGGACGCAGCTCCCTGCGGCCCTCTGGCATTCCCACCCACCGGTACCTGTTGGGGTGCGGCGAAGCATCAGGCTCTTGCATCCCCAGAACGCAGCTGGGGCCCCAGACCCTGCAGTTAGACCATCCAGGAGGAAGACCAAAGCACGGAGCTGCGGGTACAGGGGAAACCCCCAGACATGCAGACTGTAACCCCGGGCTCAGATTCACCCACGCTCCGGGGTTAATATCGCCGTGCGCTTATAAAGAGCTCTGCTATCTGCTAGTGCCATAAGTGACACAGCCCTTCCTCTCATGACTTTCTCAAAAACTGTACTGGATTCAAATTAATGCTTTATTTCTATATAACATCTGAAAAAACACAGCAGAGAGGCACCATAGAAATAAGTGTATTATGCACCAAGTCAGAAGACTTAATGTTCATCATGTAAAGACCTGGCTATTTAATGGGCGTTCTCATACATCTTTAATTTTTTATTTTATATTTTTTTAATTTAGAAAGGGCAGATGTAGATGTTAGTTTAGAATAGAATCACCGCTATCTTAAATCTGGCATACACGATCTAATCTCATGGGGTGTGATCCAGCCACGAACAAGTAAAACGTCCTTTCTCTTCAATACTGCCTGCATACAGTTTTGTTTTCACATCAATTTAAAGACAATGTTAAAAAATCCATTTTGTTTACCTAGTTAACAAGTACACTTGCAATGCTCACTTAAGTCAGCATGCCATTTCACAGGCAATCCAAAGCTGCTGCTGATAAATACAATACTGCATAAAAACTTAATTTACTTTTTATCTCTCTGCTGTTGCCTCTTTTTAAGACTGTCTTGCTCCTTTTCTCTTCACCGTGTGAAGCATCGGGCACCATTCCTCTGCTGAAACACAAACACTTCTAGCTATAACCAACACTCAGGTAAAAGCAGGTTTTGTTCAGAAACGCCCGTCGAGCTATACAGACAAAATTGCTGTGACATCAGTACGGTATCATCACATCAGGATCATATTGTCTACGCTTTGTGGATGACAAGCGTAACACTAACGGCACCTAGTTCCAACAAAACTCTCTCGAAACCATCTTGCCACCACTCTGTCTGGCTTTCTCTCTGCTTGCGGGGGCCCGACGCCCTGCACACCGCCAGTGCTGCCCACGGCACCCCCAGGCTGTCACCTCTGCACGCCCGGAGGCCAGCTGCACAGAAAGGTCAATTTAATTCAGAAGTGAATTGGTAAGATAGTAAAACAACCTCCTCTTAGTTACCTTCATAAGTGACTTCAGCTACTGTGTATGGCGTCTTCCCAAAAGTTAATTCCTTTCCAATGCATCTCTGACGCCCGGCTCCCAGCTTTGCATCCGCTGCGCGGAGCTAAAGCCGATCACAGAAGGACATGGTCCAGCTCTGCCTCTGTAGGTAATTACACACCACCTCTGGTGGCTGTAGCATCTTGCAAGCACCTGAGGACCCACACCTGCAGGGAGATGCTGATTTATTGGCTCCAAATAGGAAGACAACACTCTAATCCTCCTCACTTCAGCATGACTAAAAAGGCATCGGCCTTTCCGTGATGGCTTTCCACCAGGCTCCCTCTATTAGATGCTTTTTTTCCAGAGGGGTTGTGCCAAAAGGCCTCTGGCTGCAGCTGCGCTTACGCCAGATTTCTTGTGAGAAAGTGCCATCCCGTGGCTAAGTGGGAAATCCTTGCAGCTTCGTGTCTCAAATCGAACATCGGGCAAAGCCACCTCAGACAGCTATAATCCATGTGTCCTAGCACAGACCTGCTGCAATAAGGCCAACTGCTGACCTCCCACCCTCTCACCCCCAGCCTGCACGGCACCTCAGCAGCAAATCTGAATTACAACAGTCCAGCTCCCACATCTTCATTAGCTTCTGGCTTCCTCACAGTTTTACATGGACACTTGGTTTTTATTACCTGTTCATTATTATTCTTTGGGGGACAACTATTGTTATTTTTCACTGTTAGCAAGGTCTGGCTTAATCCCAGGGTTTGGAAGTTGAAGATGACATTAAAATAAACAAACCAAAACCAATCACCACCCTACTGTATGGAGAGTTTCACAGGCTTTCACCTCAAACCAGGACTGCTGCTTGACGTGAGGGTGGGCAGGAGTGCCCTGCCTCAAGCCTGTAATGCAAGAGAGCAACAGAGAGATTTCGGGCACCCTGCCCCAGACGCTCAAAGCTGGACAGCTAGAGAGGTTTTCATCTTCCCAACTCAAGCCAATTTAAGTCCTGAGTGTTAGTGGAAATCAAGCACAGGTAGGCATTTTATCTGCAAAAACAGAGGAATGGAAACGACTACCTTTATTTTTCATTTAATACAAATTAAATTTTAAGCTGCTTTCCAGCTGGGTGGCCCCAGCAGGTCCTGGTGCCTGGGGCTGCTTCTCCCCAGGGCCAGGACTTGGCACGTCCCCTGGCTGAACTTCTCCAGGTCTTGACAGGACAAGGGGCAATGGTTTTAAACTAAAGGAGGGGAGATTTAGACTAAACACAAGGTAAAAATTTTTCACGATGAGGGTGGTGAGACACTGGCAGGGGGTGCCCAGAGAGGGGGGGGATGCCCCATCCCCGGGAAACTTCAAGGCCCGGCTGCTGGAAAGGTCCCTGCCATCCCAAAGCGTTCTGTGATTCTTTCTCAGCCCATCTCTCCAGCCTGTCCAGGTCCCTCTGGACGGCAGCATGACCCTCTGGAGCATCGGCCACTCCTCCTGGTTTGGTGCCATCTGCCAACTCACTGAGGGTGCACCCTGCCCCATCATCCACGTCATTAATTAATGAAGACATTAAACAAAATCAGACCCAGTATTGACCCGTGGGTTACACTGGTACTTACTGGCCTCCAACTAGACCTCGTGCAAGTGGTCACCACCCTCTGGGCACAGCTGCTCAGCCAGTTTTCAGTCCACACGTCTTCAGCTTATAAACTGATCAATCCACATAAACTCTAATAACATTTTTTTATTATTATTCACACATGAGCCATATGTTGAGCTATATTAGTGTCAAACAGTGCTGTGTCTGTAGTAACAGCAGGTCCGGCAAGATAAATCCAGGAGAGGACTCAGTCCATTCACTGCCTTGAGAAACAGCTGAATATACCAATATCATCTCTTAGAAAAACTTACAGTGGAGATGTCTTTCATACTCAGAAACCACAGGGATCTTGACATGGCAGACTCAGCTGGACACCAGAATCCACAGATACTGGTTGGTTGTTGGACTAAGGGATTACCTCAGATAAACGTGTTAAGCCCAAGTTCAGGAGCAGCTATTTTCCCCTCCTTAGTAAAAGAGTCTATAGGTAGGCCTTTAATTTTCCTTAACCAGGCCTTCTTGCGTGCTCTTTGCTGATCTTCTCCGAGTTTTGCCTGGTGAGCCTGGTGCTGAGCGGCAGTAGCTGCCTCCTGCACCTCCCGCTGTTTTCCTGTCAGAAGCCTGAGCCCACCGTCACTCCGGGAAGGGTCTGCAGCATACGGACAAAAAGGCTTTTTTCTCCTGGAAACCGCTTCATTTTTCATTTGTGCAATCACCACCTGTGTCGATTTGATCAGTTCAGAAGAAGCTGTAAAGGGATCGATAAGCTCAACCCCATCTTCGGGGAGAGGAATAGCTTTACCGTGACCGCTGTGAGCTTCCTTTTCTCGCAGCAATCCACAGCAAGTCTTGGGACGTACAACGGAGGGAGCAGGGATGGAGGATTTGACAGTGGGTCCATGCAAAGAGTTTTTCAGCTTGAGCTGCAGCATTTTGGTTTCAAAGGGTATAGAAATTTTTTTCATAGTCAGAGAATCACTGTGCGTTCTTGCACGTTGGAGCTGGACTGTCTGATCCTTTTTGTGTTGCAGAGGGGTTTTGTACAGCTGTACCTTTTCAGGGCGGTGTTGCTGATGTTCCCGTGGAGATTCCCATGCTTCCCTGACTTTTGCAGTGTGCTTAATACTGGGGCTGACTCGGGCTGACTTGCAGGCGTTCTGCAGCATGCTGATCGTTAAGAGGAACTTGTCAGGGGACATCAGCCAACTCGGGCCTCTTCTCTTTTCATGCTGCAAGGCGGCTTCTGCCCCGTCAGGATGCACAGGTACACGGAGAGAAGGGCCATGTTCAGATACGCCATCTGTTTCCAAAAATAAAACAACACATTGGGAGTTGAGGGTAGTTTTTGTGGTCGTTGTTGGCAGGGTAGTACTCCAAGTAACACCAGGGGTGGGTGCTGGATTGACAGGCATATGGACAGTCCAAGTTTATCTACAGAACAGGCGGTGTAGGAAGCTACCAGCCGATGGTGCCCATTTCAGTTTGCTCATCCTTGGCCTTGCTAGCGATGCTGCCAACATCAGAGGTAACTCTGTCTTGGTTGGCTGAGAAGTGTTCCTTGCCATAGCCTGTCTGGGTCAAACTAAAGTCAGATTCCATAACATACGTTGTATTTGTGTGTGGATGGATCGGTATCCACCTTGATGAAACCACAGTTTCTGAAAGGAATGAGGTTCCCACCACCTCTTCCCATGCACCCCTTTCTTGTCCTACAGTTTGTGCATTGGGAAAAGGCTTCAAGACAAGTCAGTTCCTGGTAGAAGTCTTGGAAGTAGCCAACACCTGAGAACCACTTTGAACCATTACTGCTGCATTTGAATTGGAAATCACAAGACGTGCTTGGTCGCCTAGCTTGCTGCCTCAAGGGCTGTGGGGAGTGACCTGTGCTCTACGACAGACATATCAAGGTGGATTCTGTGATTCTGCCCTTGGCTAAGAACTGGATGGAGATTATGACACAGGCTGCGTAAGACGCTGGGTCCCGTGGCCTTGCCATGGTGACTCATTTGTCACTCCACTTTGCAATGTCATGCTGTTTGTGTACCATTGCTTTGCAATACAATTCCGTTTTTCCAGATTGGTTAACTGAATCTTCTGCCCTCTAGAAATGTATTTCAGAGAGCATTTAAGTTACAGTGCAGCAAGGCAGAATACAGCAAAACAAACTAATGAAAGTTACTGCTTGTTCCTTGTTCACAGAATTTAGAACCATTTAATCTGCACATACGTATGACCCTGCATCTTTGTTACAAACACCAGGAATCTGGGGTTAGAGACTTTCGGTGGTACAGCTCTTAGGATTTCAGAGTATGACTTAAACTTTAAGATCCCAACAGATTCTGAATATAAAACCTGAGAAAAATTAAACTTGAGACAAATGCCATATGGCCACAGACTGCATTTGTGATCTCGGTACTATCTCATTTTCAAGTTTCAGGTTGCCATGTCGTTGCTGGCTGAGACAATTTACAAATAGGGTTTTTTTAAACAATTTTCCAAGTTACTGCTATTGATTAAATACCGACTACTTGAATAAATTTTGTGCACAATTCTCCTACACCTGTTTAAGAAACCAAAAAATGGAATAAGGATACAGTGAAAAAAAAACCCCTAGATACCAGAGAACTCACTTTATAGCTGGAGCTGATCGCTTGTCCTGTTTATTTGATTGACCTAAAGCAGCTTCTGCAGCCATCGCAGGCTCTGCAAGTGATCTGTTTTGCCACTGCGAACCTTTCATCCAGAACAGGCCTATCTTCTAGAGATCCTTACTTTGTGTTTCATCCATTCAGTTATCTTAGGTGTTCTTGTTTGAAGAATTACTGTCCTACCCAGCTGCCAAGGCTCCTTACCAGTATCTGCTAGGATTCTTGCAGAACGTGCTCTTGCCAACTTTCCCAAGGCAAAGGCTTGGGGTTGTTTGGTGCCAGGAATCAAAAGCTTTTTCTGCTGCTCTGCCTGAATACGAAAAGCCTTTTCAGTCTTGAGAAAAGGCTGCTGTTGCTGGCAAGCTGCTGGTTTCATCAGTTCAGAGGAGAGAGCTAGAAAACAGAAGAAAAAAAAATCATCTCTAAACTTTGCTGGTGTTAAACTTTTTTTTTTTTATTAAAATCTTCATAACTGATGGGATTTCAAGTCTTTAGAACCTGTGATAAGAGGCAAAACAGTAACCAAAGGTCTAGGTATTAGCAATAATCCAAAGATATTTGATTAGCAGAATGCCTCACAGAATTCAAAGATGACAGCAAATGTTCATTTTTTAAAATATTGTGTATACACAACCCATACTTTTTTGCCACTAAAATTAAAATATATTGCACTCCTTATTCGTTTCCCCGTTTCTCCAAACTGTACGTCTGTTACCAAGTAGAACTGTATCAAGGAGGTTAGCATCTGATGGCCTTAAAAGCATGAAAACCGTCCGAGGCCGTGAGTTTATCTGCAATATACAGTTTGATTGTAGAGCTGGAAGATTTGCGATACACACTGTATTAAATAACTGCTGATTGAAAAAAAAAAAAAAAAACATCGCAATGTTACAATTTAAAAGGTGCCTGCTTATGTGCAATTGCATTTCCTGGTGATGGCAGATCCTGAATGCAGGCGTCCTATGATTTTCTAGAGTATTTTCTAATAAATAATTCAAGCACTGAATCAGCGGCATGTTTCCGTGCATGCCAGCTGTAAGAATATGAATACTACTACTGATTTCTCTATTACTCGGTTCGAAAGAGACAGTGCCTGCCTTGACAAACGCTTTGAATTTATACCAAACCTTTCTAAAAAGGTACAAAGGTTTTACAAAAGCCTGGAAATGACAGAACCATTGAAATGCAACAGCACATCTACCAGACTGCACTTTAAAAAAAGCAGAGAGGCTGTAGATTGATTCAGATGAAGGCAGCGGGTACTTGAAACTCTTTCTAACTCATTTTAGAAAACGATGCCGCCGTATTGTAAGTAGTACTTCGAGATGCTTCACAGCCTTTCGGTGACTGGCAGTGGGCCCAGCCAGACAGCGTGAGCTGCTCAGCATCTTCTGTCTCCGGAGCAAGTCGATGCATCCAGCTGAGGTCCGGGTGTCGCGCTTGCCGAAGGTGAAGCCATGTTCTGCTTGAAGTCCTGTTGCGATGATTTTTCTTCCCCACCCTCTCTCGGTCAGTGGCTAAGGTATAGTCCCACCTGACATCCTCAAACTGGAACATCAGCAGACTAGTTGGTGAATTGATCACCATCCTGGGGAAGGAAAAGCCGTTAAAAGCACAGATATCATTAACGCAGCTCTTACCGCCTAAGGGGCCCATTTGCTTCTGTGCCATACAAAACCCCAGGGCCTTAAACAGATGCGAGATAACCATCGCTTGTTTAAGGAAGCAGTGGCAATTAGTCCCATCAATCAGACGCTGTACATTTTAACTCATACTCTGGATGAGCCCTATGGGCCTCTTTTCATTCAGCTCTATGAAAAAATGCATTTTAAAATAATTAGGATGAAAATTGCCAACAGTGGACTGAGCTAGATCAGTGCAATGCCGAAAGAAACTGGAGATACCATATTATTAGGAACACTTAAACTTCAGTTGGAGGGGTGCACTGGGTCTGGTTGGGATGGAGGTAGTTTTCTTCATAGGAGCCCATGTATTGCTGTGTTTTAGAGTTGCGACCAAAACAGCACTGATAACACACCAGTGTTTTAGTTCCCAGCTTCTGTTTAAGCAACAGCTATCTTTTGTTTAGAGGTGCAGAAGTGAAGGAACCTGGAAGGATTTTCCATGATTGGCTTTTATAAAGAGGCAGTAGGTCAGGGAACAGGTAAAGGCTTTGTCAGGCCTTGGCTTGATTCTCCAACCTCAAGAAATTTGGGTTCTGAACGCAGCTTTACAGTTGGGTCTATATCTTAAGTTGTATAGAAACAGGAAATTTTAGATTGCTGAATGAACTCAGCAAATCTGTTTTCAGCCACTGTTAACAAAAACAAGTTACTGAAGCAGGCAACAAGCCGTAGAGCCCTTTAAAACTTATTTGTGAGAAGGACAGTAAAAGGAAAAATACACAATTATTTGAATGACAATGTAAGCTGCCTGATTTGGGTCAGAGGCTGATTGCAGCTGTTGTCACCAACCTGTTTTCTGCAACATAGAAAGAAGATATGGGGTCCCCTCTGCTGTTGGCCATCAACACTTTCAAGCAGCTTCCAGTCAGGTAGTTAAATATACGAATCTTTCCATCAGCACAGCCACTGATGACTCGGAGATAGAGGAACTCCAGGGACAGGACTTCCCTGAAAACACGACATGCTGATGTTGGCACATTCATCCTGCTTTCACAGGGAGGCGTGATCAGCTACCTCTTTTGTCTCGGAGGAGATGCAAAGGTCTGCCTCCATCGACAGGCTAACAGAGAAGCTCACTGAGATATTTAAAAGGCCTAGTAGTGAAGTTCTTCATAATCGCTCCACGTCCAAACCAACCAATGCAGCGCATCCTCAGAGCAACCAGTGTGGTTATGGCTATCTGGTGCATTTTAAATTTCATTTTTATGTCTAGGAAAGTAAATGGAAACAATATGATGCTGCATTTTCACAGTTCTAATAAGCAATTAAAGTATTAGAAACTAACATAGTATACAGTTAGTAGGGCTCAGCACGTAACTCAGCCACCTCTGACATAAACACTATCTTTTTTTGACCAGGTAGCGTGATACCCTCTTGCACATGGGCTGGGATCCTTGAAATATTGGACTATGCACTGTCAGTCTTAAGTCACCCCTGTTTGTGAACAAGTGGTTGCATATTTGCATTTCAGGTTGTTATAGGTCTTAACTGACAAACACTGGCTGTGACCACATAGTGCCTGACACTGGTTTAAAGACAAAGATTGTTGAAAGTGGGGATATTTCAAATATTAAGACTGATAATTAAGGCATTTTGTGTTCCTGTAAGGGAGACATTTTCTTTACAGACTTAGCAGACTGTTGAATACAACTTGAAACACATCCGATTCTTACTTAGGATGGCGGAAAGCTATTAGGCATCTCTTGAGGTTTCCCAACATGCTCCATCCCAGGGCGTATCCATCGGTGCTTCCTGTGACTAGGTGCCACTGATCAAAGGACAGGCACTTAACTGGGCCTTGGTGCCCCTCTAATGTCTGCAAAGTAAAAGAAATAGGTACAACGCTGTCAGCAATCTGGATGTAAATATGCCAAGATATCTTACAGCATTCACAATACCAGCCTCATATACTGTATTGTAGTTTTGTCGGGTGTTATTATAATACACCAATACACCCTATGGATAACTGTGTTAGTTTTATAGTCACTTAAAAGAAATATTCTGGGCTCGTTGCTGATGGTGAGCTACTGGCATGGAATTAACATCCATTTTACATCTTTATTACATGTGCTAAATAGATGTTACTGCACCGAGGCCTTTGTCATCTGTTGAATGTCCGCCCAGGAGAGAAGAGAGCAGGCTGCCCTGACCATGGTGGAAGGGGCCATTGCAAACTTGGCTGAGCTGGAGCTGGGATATCTTGCATCTGAGATGCATCTCAATTTGCAACTCTCTTCCCCACAGGTAGAAAGAGCTTCACTCCTCTCAGCCATGGACTAATTCTGGGCACCTGCTAAGGTAATTAGCAGGCTCTGGCCTCAATCTTTAAATTGCAGAGCAGCTCTCCAGCTGCTTCAGCTTTATAAACTGTTACTAATTCAGAGAGCAAGTTTCATATTTTGGGCTAATAGATGATGCCTCCAGCCCTGAGAGCTGTTAGTCAAGCCCGCCCTCCCTCTTCCCAGGTTCTGAATGCTTCTACAGGAGCAGAGATGAATGTATGTACAGAGAGCAAGGAGTGATGGGGGTTAAGCAAGGCAAATCAAACCCTGGGTTAAAATTGACAGTTGTTTGCAAATTGGTTTTCATTATTTGCTTACAAATAATTTTGCAGTTTATCAGTTTAGAGTGCTTTTGGTTTTGATTAGGGGGATTCTTTTTTTTTTAGAAAGTCTTTGGCAAAAGCAAAAAGCTGTGATAAACTAGCACAGAAGATTTTTTTGACCATTTAGCACAAAATTATCCACCTAAGAAGAAACTTACTTTGATCAGAGCACCCGTATCAGCACGCCAGACTTTCACCAGCCCTCGGTCGCACCCGCTGACAACACGGGTGCCATCCATTTTAACTACCCAAACAGCACTGTTGTGCTTCAGAGTCTTGAGACATTTCCCACTCTCCAGGTTCCACACTGTTAGGGGCAAAGGGGAGAAATATTAAAATACACATGCCCCAATGATAAAGTTTTGCCGAGTACAACATGAATTAAAAGATACTATGGGAATTACGGTTGCATCTTGTACCTGCACCTCTGCGTGTAGCCAAGTGGTGACTTAGAAAGTATAATTGCATGGCAAAAAATTTAAATGCAAAGTCCAGAAAATAGTATGTCCTTTTCGTCCTTATTCTATAAGCTAATAATAAGGAAGCCTCTGGCAAAGCTGAAAGTTGGTACCACTTTCCCAAGAGTTGATCCGGCCCTATAGCCACAAAGCCATGAAAACTGAATAAAAGCAGAAATAATGAGAATTTATTCAATGACAGGGACCTGGCGTGTGCATGTGTCCACAGCTTAGGCTGTTCTGGAAGGAAAAATATGAGACTAAAATTCACCCTCCGATGTATAGACTTACATTCAAACTCACACCCTGCAAGCGTCACACTCATCACAGCTCTCCAGCTCTTTGCCCATTGCTCGCTACAGTTTGCCTGTGTCTGGGAAGCTGCTCTCACCTTTCACCATCCCATCCCTGGCTCCTGACACAAACTGCTCTTCGTGTAAATCCAAGCAGGTGACTGTCCCACAGTGACCATTAAAGATTTTCACACAAGCACCACTGTATATATTCCAGCATCTACAAAGGACCGACAGAAAAGAGAATACAGTGATTAACTTAATTAATGGCTTATTCATCTTATTCATTATTTCCTACTTAACAGGCCCAGCTCTTCTCCCATACACACTAGGATAAAATCAGGAGTCATTCCACTAAGGTGTTGGAGAATTTAGAACAATCAGGTCAGGCTTAGTATTAAATTTTTACCCATACACTTTGTTCTTCTGCCTCCAAACTACCTGGAAACGCGTGGCTGGATTTCACCTTTGGCATGGTTGCCTTCAATTAACCTTAAAATGTAGAGCTTTACAGATAAGGTTGTTTCTTTACTGGCCGGTGCCAGGATGATTTCTGTTGACTTTATCTAGAGAACTCAAGCCTGCACTTAAACAAACAGCGCTTTTGGAGTGGGAAGAGCAGGGAGGACAGAGCCTGGGTCGGTATAAACTCCCGTTTTGTTAAATGCTGCTTTTGATGAAGTTGTGCAATTGCCATACCAGAGCCAGACAACCCGCTGTTTAGCTTTTCACCCCTCGTCATGATACTTTTGAGATTTAGTGATAAATAAGATGTAAGAGCTGATCATCTCCACCCCATGCTTCAGGGTGCAGTACCTGGAAAGGAGCAGCTGTACAGCAGGTACCAGGGTACTGAGGCCTTCTAAAATGTCACGGAGAAACCCAGTGTCCTGGTTCAGCTGGGACAGAGTTGATTTTTTTCTTCCTAGTAGCTGGTATAGTGCTGTGTTTTAGATTTAGTATGAGAATAATGTTGATAACACGCTGATGTTTTAGTTGTTGCTAAGTAGTGCTGACACCAGTCAAGGACTTTTTAGCTTCCCATGCTCTCCCAGCTTCTTGTGCACCTGGCAGGGGACACAGCCAGGACAGCTGACCCCGACTGGCCCAAGGGCTATTCCATACCATATGATGTCATGCTCAGCATATAAACTGGGGGAGTTGGCCAGGGAGCAGCAATCGCTGCTCGGGGACGGGCTGGGCATCGGTTGGCGGGTGGTGAGCAATTATATCGTGTATCACTTGCTTTGTATATTATTGTTGTATTTTATTATTATTATTACTACTACTACTACTCTATTTCATTTTACTTCAATTATTAAACTGTTCTTATCTCGACCCACGAGTTTTCTGACTTTCACCCTTCCAATTCTCTCCCCCATCCCACTGGGGTCAGGGGAGTGAGCGAGTGGCTGGGTGGTGCTTAGTTGCCGGCTGGGGTTAAACCACGACACCCAGCCCCCCTGAACTTGATGCTGACCTTAAAAAGGCCAGAATCTCACTGCAAGTGCCTATGGGAAACATATCTGGTGTTTTAAGAGGCTTGAGGAGAACCTGTGCATCACTTATCTTCCTATTCTAGCATTCAGTACCAGGTGAAACGGGGAAACAGCAGCTGTCCTATGTGAGCAGGGAACGTGTTTCCTTATCCACTGTCCCTCATTAGTGAAAATGGTAGGAAGGCGGATTCCTAAAGCTTGGGCTGGAAGAATTAAAGTTTCATTTTTCCTAGATTTGCCAAGGGCCTGGTATCCCAGGGCACGGTCCCCGTGCTGCTCACCTGATGCTGAGATCAAAGCTTGCACTGAGAACGAACCCTTTCTTCTCATTGAGGAACAGTGCTTTGATGCTCCCAGCGTGGCCAGAGAGCAGAGGAGGCACTTCTTTCATTCCCGACATACCAAGAAGCCTCACTTTTCGGTCTGCAGAGCCAACGGCTACCAAGTTTCCACCACCGTAATGGATTACTCTGCTTTGGTCTGATCTGGATAAGAAACAGTGATCGAGATGAGCTTTAGCCAGCTAACAAGGTACAACAGGTCTAAGACTGTGACGGGCATTTCTCAGATGCTTAAGAGTCCTCACCGAGCACCCTGATGGGCAACACACTTCAGCGGGTGAACCCTTTGCAGGGCACCACAACCCAGGTCCCTAGCTCTGCACAGCCATGTTTGCATCCGGAGGGTAAGCTTAAAGAGGGGAGAGGGCTCCTCCCGGCACCGTGTCCCTTCTGATACATCATGGATCGCTAACCCTGACGTCTTCAAAAATAACTTACCTTGCTGTCTTTATAAAGAACTGGATTTGACACTGAGGATTTCTTAACACTGATGCTGAGAGACCCTTCTCCAGCCATACATTCCCACAGAAGGATTGCAAGGAACGGGAGGGGTTTTTGGAAGCCACTGTTTGGCCCTACAGCCGGGCAGCCTACTCACCGGTCTGTGAAGACACGAATATTGTAGGAGCCACAGAAGACATTTCTCTCTTCCAGCTGAATCGTATCAGTTTGCAGATCATGATAGGCTGCCTGCAGATTGTCTTCCTTCTCCTGATGGAAAGAGAAATAGGGAAATATAAGTCATGGAGGGGGGGAATGCAGCATTATTCCACAGTATTAAATGTAGCGGCTTGGTCCCCACTATAGTGATGAGACCATTAGAGCCAGCAAGTGCTGGTAAGGACCACGCAGAGTGCAGGACCTTCCCGGTTAGTGCAGAAACGGGGGCTGTTCCCATGCCATGTTCCGTGGTGAAAACGGAAGACCTGACAGCTGCAACCATTTATTCTTTGGGAAAAATGCTGTGTCCTTGTGATGCTGCCTGGCCTTGCCAGCACCTCTGGCCTCAAGGCTATTCATGCGACGGGGGGACACGTTAGGCCAAGGCAGGAGCTCAGGGAAGCAGGCTCCCTCCGGTGCAAGAAGGGGCTGAGCAAGCATCAGTCCTTACGAATTGCTCACGATGGTGCAAGTCAGAAGCAGGAGTGGGAGAAGAGCAAAGCAACCCTGAATTCAGTCCTGTCTTCCAGGACCACCATGCTCTCCTTCCTCCCCAAATGCAGAAATGCAGGGTCCGTGGAAGGCAAACAACTTCCAACATACCTTTGTTTTACATCCCCACTCACGGCCTTTCACTTCGATGACATCTCCCTCTTCATTTAACTGCGGAATCATCACATCGACTGTTTTAGCGTAGTTTGAAACTGCTCCTCTAGGGCACAACCCCTGAATAAACCAGTAGAGGCAACACAGTCACTGCAGAGCCTGCGTGCACAAAGGATGCTGCCCATGTGAGGCTTCAGCATCTCCACGGGGTGCTGAAGTTACATGCAAAGCTGAGCTGCACACACTGGCTCGCTGTTATTGTTTAAGAGACCTGGCTTGCATTTCCCACTTCATTGGTATAAGATTTAACTTCTTGTGAAAAAAATAATTGCTTTCATTTTTTTTTTCCGAAACTCTAGCCTCAAGCTTTTAATAAGCTGCAAAACTTTCCCATTTCAACAGAAAAAAATTCCAAAGCGCAGCTTGTCTTTGGTGAGCGCTTGGTTGATTCAGAATCCAAACCCACTTAGATGAGAGGCTCTGAAAACATCTTACCAATATCCAAGATTCATTTTTAATGTGTGAAAACTTCCAGTAAGCCTTCTTTGAATGCTAGCACAGAGCTGAGGTTTCCATGCTCTCTTCACAAATCAAAGCACGAAGAGACCCCTAACTTTGTCTCTTTGGAGATTTACTGTTAGCCTCAGCTTGCTCTCTGGCAGGTCCATACTAACCAAGACAAGCCTTTCCTAGAAGTTCTGCTTTACTGCGTCCCACCCACCGGCTCCGACTTCTCACAAAGAAACCTGGCATTCCCGTCTTCCTCTGTGAGAGCTCAGTGTTCCAGCTGCCCCAGGGAGCCACTGTAGCTCTGCCCAGTTTCCACTGGCTCCTGGAAGTCCAGTATTTGCATTTGTGACCAGACACTGTTTTCTTGATTACAAGAATGTTTTGATCCATTTTTAGAGTTGCAGGCTCTCTAAAGGTCAGTAAAGGCTGTTCTTGTGACAGTATAAACATCTAACGTGGCTTAGCTCTGCAGATGGAGGAAGAAAGAACAGGGTGAAGTTGGGAGGTGGCCTCCAGTGAAGGCTCCTCCATCTGATGGCTTGGGAAGCAACAGAAAAAAACTCTTGCAGTGCAGAAGCCCAGACATCATACCTGCAAATACAGGATGTTCTCCTGTACTACCCTTTGACACACACGTTCCCTCTTGACTTCTGTGGCCAGAAAAGCCCAGCATCTACTCACAGCAGCACACGTGTGGAGGGATTTTTGATCCAAAAGCCCTGAGGAATTAAAGGGACAGATTGGCAACCCCCTAGACACACTAGAGACCATTCATTTCCCTTATGGGAAGCCACCCTTGGAAAATCAGAGCAGCTTTACCCAGGATGTACATGGAGAGGTGAGGTGGCAGGCAGCGAATGAAGTCCTTGGATGGGTTGGCATTAGAGGGTGACTGGAGAGATGTAGGAACCACAGTGCCATCTTGATCGGCTAAGGAGATAATAGGTGAGCTGTCCTCAGGATCAGGATCCTCCTGGATGAGGCAGTCGGTGTTTTGGGGCCAGAAGCACATTGCTGGTGGGTGACCACCTAGAAGACAGGGGAATTGATAGTCTTATGCGCTTGAGCTTCGGTGGCTATCAACGGCCCTGTTGATAGTCATGCACTGCAAGAGTTGGTTGATCTTAACGTGACTCTTCTGCTAAACCTTTGGTACTGTACCATTCAAAGGAAAATGCTGAGAACGCTCAGGGTCTTGCAGGACAGTTGACACCAGCGGGGTCTGAGGGCAGAGAATGACAACCTTTCCCACTCACCACTGCCCTGAGAGGGCTCTTCACAGCTGGGAAAACCAGGGGACCCAAGGGGTCACGGGAGACCCTGGCTGAGCTTGGTGGGGACGCAGCGTGACAGTTTTCCTTTTGCAAACACAAAATACTTTTCCTCCGCCACCTCTACCTACAGCAGTCACCAGCATGGCGGGGTGACTGTCCCAGGCCCTAAGGGGAACACCAAAACACCCTCATGCCAAGGGCATAGCACTTCCTTCCTAAAAGGTGAAAAACTTTCTCTTCCTTTAGCCATTACATTTTCTTCAGTAAAAATATGACTTGGGTTATGACATTGCAAAAGGAAAGAAAGGGGGACAAATTTCTCTGTTGTCCCTGAGATAACGGAAGGGTAAACGCAGGTGATGCCCTTCTCACATTAGCAGTTTTTGCTGGTGTCTGCACACACCTCTAGCATCTTTGCCAAACGTCACCCCCCCTCGGTGTAAGGCTTCCCTTCCTTTTAGGTGCAACACCAGCCACCGTGCTAGGTTTTGAAATTCAGGTTGTGCTGGTGGAAGACCTTACACCTGGCAGAACAACATCTCAGCCAGCGGAAGGGAAGACGCTGCCTTTCATCTCTTCACTAAGAGGATACTGTCAGCACCTCGGCAGACTTGGGAAGCCTCTCAGAGCAAAAGCAAGCATCTCTTGAATGGCATCACCTCCTCCTGCGTGGCACTTTGAACTTTCCAGCTAACTATTGCCATGGCCTGCCATGCTTTTTTCCAAAATGACCCAGAACAGAACTGTTCTAGGCAGGGCCAGTCGTTAGTGTCCTGGTATGAAACACCATAGATTTCCCCCCCCCCCCCCCAGTATTAAATACTCAGGCAGTGGTACCCATCATACTAAGCTGGCCAGTTCTTGCAGATGAGGTTTTACTTTCAAGAGCTGCAGAAGAAGTGCTGGCAGGCCACAGTGGAAATCAAATCCGGGCACTGGGCTGAGGACAGATGTCTTCCTTGAAGCTGCTTTGGGATTCAGCAGGTGATCCATCTACCTCTTCCTCTGGAAGAATTAAGCAGAGTCAAACCTTACAGTAGGCATCGTAGAGCTGAATTAGGGGACTGCAGATGTTAGAATAGTATATTAAGTATCTAATACATAAATTATGCTACATTATTTATTCTATCCCTTCTAGCTATGCAGAATTAGTCCCTTCAGCGCTTTCTTTATTATGGTTTTCATTACTTAAAACATTCAATTCACAACCACCCCTCCCGAGATGTGTGGCCCAGAAGAATTCACGAGGAACATTTTTTCATTGCGTGGTTGCCATCTATACTCCATTACAAGCCATATTCCTCCTCCCGTTAATGACCACCTCGTTTACAGGGTTACTGCACGCCGGTGCACCCACACAGGCGGCCCTGAGGCAGCGCTGACCCCGGGAGGCTGGCGCTGGGTCAGGATAAAGCTGTCGGCTCCGAGTCCCGCCTGGCCCCGTGCCTGCTGCCAGGAACGGCCCGTTCCCTCCATGACCTCTGCTCGCCCCGGCTTTGCCCCCTCATTTCCTACAGCTGGAAGGATCAGAGACCTGAGCAATACCAATTTGCAGTATTAACCAGAAGGTTAATAGCGCAGGGCAAGTAAAGCTACAATTAACAGTGATGTTGGCTGGGCCATTTCTTTCAGCAGTTACCCTTTGTACCGCCTGCACGGGGAATTTTGCCCCACGCAATAAAATTTGGGCTAGAGAGGGGAGCAGCCAGAGCAGCGGCATCGGGAGCTGCCGGAGCGCTGCAGGTGACGGAAAGGAACCTGGGGAACATTACCTCCACCTTAGCATCACCCCTGGCCCGCGGCTCTTGTACCCGAGGGGTGGCTCTGACACAGCCCGGGCGTCAACCCCGGCCCAGAGCCTGGCCTGAGCGCGCCGAGAGGCAGATCTTGATCTCCGGGACGGAGGGTGACTGATAATCCCAGCCCTGCCACGCTGCAAACAAAACCTCATTCCCCGAGAAGCGATACACAGGCGAGGGCTGCGTGCCGTTCCTCTCCGCCGCTGGCCCTGCCGCGAAGGGCTCTGCCAAAAGCCCCGCGCCCCGCTGACGGGCGACAGCCTCCAGCCTGCCGCACCGACAGCGCGCCTTAAACTCCATTTTTGGAGCTGAGGGCAATCCGGCACAGCCCCAGCAAGGCGGCATCTGCTGAGAACCTCAAAAGGGAAAAACTAAAAAAAAAAAAAAACAACAACTAAAGGGAAAACCCCCGCGGCCTCAGCAAGCATCAGACCCCGCCGGCCTGGCTGCCCTGGGTGGGAGGTTTTGGGCTCGCTGTTTTCTGCCTGATAGGCGGGGAACGAAGCATCACCAGAAGCTCCGAGCCCTGCCCCGGTGTCCCCCCGCCCGGACAAGACCGTTTGTCCCTGGGTCCCCCCCGCAGCCGG